ATTCGCATCATGGATGTGCAGCCGACAAATCTGCGGCAACTGTGTGATGCCATCATGTCAATATGGACCAAACTCGCTGAGGAATGCTTCCAGCACCTTGTTGAATCTATGCCACCAAGAATTGAGGCAGTTCTGAAGACAAAAGGGGGTCCAACCCGTTACTAGCGTGGGGTACCTAATAAAGTGGCCGGTGAGTGTATAATATGTTATATTACCTGCTTTATAGGCTTCTCTGACTTCATAATGACTCTGCAATGTGATTGGCCGATTTATTTTATTCTAAGTTAAAGTTAATCTACTGATGCTCTGAAACAGCCAGTCTGGGTCAAACTGATGAATTTATCTTTATTTTAAAAGTCTTTAGCTGAAAATGAGAACATCATTGTTGTTCAATGCTGTAGAGCACAGATTGTTCACATTGAGACAAGTCTAACTAGGGAGTACCAATATGGTGGCCGGTGGCTTCACTTCAACCCTGTACTGCCAACGAGCAACAGCAATCCGGGGAATAAATAGGGATCATGGTTTTAGCGCTGTGACCTCTGACCCCACCCCTAGGATGGGGCGGGGTCAAGCATACATCTTCATACTTCTAATCTACAGCATCTGTTCTGTTTTAGTAGGATTGTTTGTGACGGACGAACATTAGGAGGAAAAAAACATTTCTAATAACTAAAATAACTAAAGTTTTTTGGGCCTCTGATATTTCTGCCAAACCAAACCAATGAAGATCAGACTGGATGGAGAGCATCTGTCAACTTTCAAGAAGTTGAATGAATCTGTTTGAGTGTTTCTATAACAACACATCATCTCAGGTCACATTATAGATCCAGTTTAATCAGATCATCCCGTCAGATTAAAGGTTAAAAGTTTCTAAGAAAAACCAGCTGCTGTTAAAGGCCGACTGGGTTAAAAAAGACTACAAAAAATCACACAGAAGACCTGATCTTTTTCATCGTTCATTCCTTTAGAGACAGCATGAAAAGTCAGCTGAGTACAAAACATAGAGAGGAAAACAAGAAGAAAAGGGACAAGAAGAGAGGGACACAACCTAGAACAGATAATGGATGTCTATTCTATTAACATTTCTCTGTCTGGAGAATGGGGCTGTTTATGTGTTCTCCATTCAGAGGGGCCCCCTGCCTGTCTTTGCCTAGGGCCCCACATTTCTTAAATCCGCCCCTGCTGCTGCCTCAGCTCCAGCATTTATTTTCCATGAAAAGCTGTAAAACTCCTGATCAGGAAGAGGATGGTTCCCTCATGAAGTTTCTGCACTAAGAACTAGAACTCTACTTCAACACAGAGGAGAACCTCAAACTTTTCTCACAATGAGGAATCTGTTCTGCGTTTGTCGCCATCTGGTGGTCAACCTATAGAACGGCTTTGATCCATTCATCTGCTGATAAACGCATCAGAGCAGTGAGGTCACTCAGCAACTTTTTGAATTGAAATCCTGAACAGAAGCCATTTCTCTTCTTTTAGTTGTTTTGAGGCTGAAGCTCTGCGGGTGTTTTGTCACATTTTGACCTCCAGGGGGCGCTCACAAACATGAAGCTTTCTGAAGGGATTTAAATACTTTTGACTTTTAACAAGTCTGTTAAAAATCCCTATTTATGTAAAAACAAGTGTCAGCTGAAAATCATTAAATGAGGAGCTTTAAATTGTAGTTCTCCTTCATCAGATGAATAAAATCCTCCATGTTCTGTGTCTCAGTGGAAGTTAAACTCCAGCCTTATTCAGGCTTTAATCTTCCACTGAGCCACGGCATCAAGGTGATTTCCCTCCTGCTGTCTGACTCTGAGGGACAATAAACGGCCATCTTTGCTTCGCTGATTAAAACACTTAAAAGTCTTTGGCTTGATTCTTATATCACAGCAAACTCCTCCTATAAAAAGAGCGTTTGTAAAAAACATCCCAAAAAGACTAAAAACACTGAAAATTGTCTTCAGTCAGTAAGGAGTTAAATAATAATCCACCCAACCCTGGTTCACCGAACATAATGACAACCAGAGCAGAAGAACTGGATCTTGATTCTAACAGTTTCTGGAGATCCGTTCATCATCAGCTGTTCTTCACCTTCATTACCCAGAGTTCCCTTCCTTCTTAGCTTCTGTTGTCCACATCCTCCCCAGGGAGGATGTGGACAACAGAAGAGTCTAAGTCTATGGTTAACCCAATGAATGATGAGTGGTTGGACCGAGCTCTCCTGGAGCTCTGGGTCACTGATCACTTCAACAAGATGGACGAAGGAAGCTGGCCTGCATCTGCTCTCTATGTCTCTGTCTGACCTGCTGGGATAACATGTTGGACCAAGGAGGAGATTCAGGCCACTGATGTTAGGAACACGGACCCTACTCTCCATACATGCTGGACATCCCACATCCAGGATCCACAGACTGCACTGTGAGTGAAGGAACAGGAACATCCTTGTATGGGATATATCACCGACAGATAGCTGAAGCGGCTGATACCCGGCAGCACAGGAGCAGAACTGCAGCACCAGACCAGTATAGACCCAGATCTACCAGCAGGCAGGATCTGAGGTGCAGACGATGCAAAGAGAAACTATCCAGCTTCTCACAGCAGGGTGGAAGATACTGGGAGGGATGGAATCAGAGATGTAGAAGTATTCATGTTTATTACTCATGCAGAAGTATTAATCCTGCTGTTTATAAACCCCTCTGTAGAAGTTAGAGGATCAACTTCAGCTTTTTACTCCACTAAAAGTGTAAAAGTACCATTTTTAAAACTACTTCAAATGTAAAAGTAAAAGTAATGCAGGAAAAAATGTTATGGCCGGACGTTTTACTGCTCTAACCTATTAAAGGAACATTCTATGGAGGACCAACTGTGCCATATTTACAAATAAATACAGAAATAAATAAATGCTAAATAAATAAATAGGCATACAATTA